ATCTCTCATATAACTCTCTCTCTCTCTCTCTCATACTTTCATCTCTAAAACATTTTAATATTCAAACACACATTCTCTCTCTATCTCAGACTCTCATATCTCATACGTTTATCTCTCATATAACTCTCTATCTTTATCTCATACTTCCATATTTTAGATGTTTTAAAATTCAAACACAGACTCTCCCATTCTCTGCTATCTCTCTTTCTCTCTCTGTCTCACATATCTTTTTGATGTAGCCCATTCACCCATAGAAAAAAACTTTAACATGTCTTCTACCTCCCTCTCTGTCTCTGCCTACACCCCCCAACACACACGTTGACGTCAATCACCACCAAAGTCAACGATTAACCTTTCACTCTCCCTCTGCCTCAATCACGGTATTTGTGCGCCTTGTGTATGTGTTTAAACTGTTGATGTTGTACATATTTTTCTGTGGATTTTTTTACTAATATAAGTATCTATTAATTTTATTTAAATAGGATTGGACAATGGTGCAATATACAATTTAACCAATAAAATATTTATAAATAGTAACAGTACTAAAAGGTCTTCAAAGAAAAAGTATAATTCAATGTATATTGCATAAAGGGGAATCTTCCTTTGCTGTCGATTTTACCCCACCTCTAAAGGAAGCCAATGAAGGGGTGTTTGAGATTTCTTGCGTTACATGTTTGAACACTGGGGTTCAAAATCTTCGGGAGGTGAATAGCCCAAACTCTTTGGGTTATTTTGTAACGGAACCCTCTGAAGGCCCAGAGAACAAGACCGACGAAGAACCTAGTGAACTAAATAGGCTTAGTATAAAGACCCAAAAATCTTTTGAGGCCCTTCTACCTTTGTACAAGGTAGAGTCTCCTATGAAGCTGATCCAACACAAAAAGTTGGAAGGGGGATTGAGCTGGGGTTTCTAGCAGTTATCACTGAAAAGGAAGGCGAAAATAGAGGAAGAAAAGGCTTGCAAAAGGCCAAGGGCTCTATGTTCATCGGATGGGCAGAAAATAATTCAAGAGGAAGGAGATATTTTGAGGTCATCAACTCAGAGAAAATCAAGGTGGACCGCTGGTTGTGGCAGAAGTCCTCTCAGAACATCTAGTCGAGGTAGAGGACGTGGAAGGGTTTCCAAAGAAAGGAAGGGAGATGTTTTGATCTTGGAGGCAGAATCACTTATTGAGGTTATGGTGTATGAGACCTCTATGCTTAACCACTTGGGGGACGAAAAGGGGGAGAAAAGCGATGAAAGTAATATGGACTTATGTCTATCTCAATGGATGTCTCAAGTTCCAAGTACATTTCCAGTAGCGGAAGAGACCTCAGAGTCAGAAAAACAGGCGGTGGTGGCTGGCATTGAACAACCACAAGCTCCATGCTGATTCTTTCATGGAACTGTCAGGGAGTCAGACAACCCCTGATGGTTTTGTCTCTGCGAGGGTTAGTTCAAACCCATCACCCAAACATTGTCTTCCTTATGGAGACAAAGAATAAGTCAGCGAAGTTGGAGAGAATTTGTAGATCTTTGCATTTCAGAAATAGTTTTTATTGGGATCCTACAGGGTTGGTAGGGGGGTTGGCCCTATGGTGGAGGGATGATGTTTAGTTGGAGATTGATTATAGTAACCGAAATTTGGTTAATGTGATGTGTTCAACCAGCAATTCCCCTTGCTTGTGGCAAGCGTCTTTCATCTATGCTAATTCTGAGTTTCATCAGAGGCAGAAACTTTGGAGGGAACTCAGAAATATGGCAGCGACAAAGGATTACCCATGGCTGATTGTTGGAGATTTCAATATTATTGGGTCTGTGTGGGACAAACGAGGTGGCAGGATAGGAAGCTTGAGATCGATCAAAGAGCTCCAAAGCCTAATATCAGACTGTGGTATGATGGAACTTGATTTTAAGGGACAAAACTTCACTTGGTCTAACAATAGAGAGGGGGAAGCAAATGTTCATGAAAGAATTGATCGTGTGTTGGTGAACCCACAATGGAGAGAGTTGTTTCCTACAGCTTTGACCCTTCATGAACTGAGAATTGGCTCTGACCATTGTCCCATTATCATCAATGTTAATTCCAAGCACAAAAAAGTTCCTTACGTCTTCAAATTCGAGGCAATGTGGCTGTAATCAAATAAGTGTGCTGAGACAGTGAACCAAGGTTGGGGAACCAGCTCGTGCAACAGGAGTATGGAATCTTTTTAAGCGAAACTACAAGGATGCAGTTCGAGATTGCAGAGATGGACTAAAGAGGAATTTGGCAATAATAGAAAATTTTTGTCTGATCTAAAGTTTGCTTTGGAAGAGATCCAGAAGAGGGAGCCGACTAGACAAAACCTTATGAAGGAGAAGGAAATCAAAGCCCAGATGGAAACATTGTGGTGAAGAGAAGAACTTTATTGGTTGCAGCACTCTAGGATTAATTAGCTAAGGGAGGGAGATCAAAATACAAGATTCTTACTACAATTCAAAGAAGACAAAGGAATCAAATAGCAAGGCTGAAATTAGAGAGTGGAGAATGGATTGAAAGAGAGGAGGAGATGAATCAACATATAAGGGAGCATTTTCAAAACTTGTTTAAATCCTCAGGACAGAGAGATTTTGGAAGAATTTTGGAGGCCATTCCCAATCTGGTCCCTGCAGAAATGAATGAGACTCTGCTTTGCCTAGTATCCGACAAAAAAATTAGAAGGGCCACAATGATGCAAGGGGCCCTTAAAGCCCTAGGTCCAGATGGATATCCGGGGGTCTTCTACCATAAATTTTGGAATATAATTGGACCAGATGTCTGTGGGGCTGTTAGGAGTTTTTTCGAAGAAGGGAAGCTGGCACAAGAAGTTAACAGAACGAACCTTGTCTTAATCCCGAAGGAAGCTAACCCTGAAAGCCTCTCTCAATTTCGGCCTATATCACAGTGTAACTTTGTGTACAAGATTGCCTTGAAGGTGCTGGCTAATAGACTAAAAAAGATTCTCCTTCATCTGGTGACGCCCAATCAAGCTGCCTTTGTTCCCCAAAGACATATCCAAGACAGTAAACTGGTTGCAAATGAGGCTTTTCATGCACTAAAAATAAACAAGAGAGGCAAATCTCCATCCATGGCCATGAAAGTGGACCTTAACAAAGCCTATAATCGAGTTGAATGGGATTTTTTGGAAGCTGTCCTGCAAAAGTTGGGGTTTTCTTCGAGATGGATAAATCTCATAATGTAATGTGTCTGCACAGTCAAATTTGAGGTGATCATCAACGGGGAGTCTAGGTGCGAGATGACTTCTCAACGAGGTCTCCGGTAGGGCGACCCATTGTCCCCTTGTCTCTTTTTTTTCGTTGTCGATGTGATCTCTAGGATGGTCCAGAATGAGGTGTACGATAGGGCAATCAAACCTTGGAGAATTCGTCGGAGAAGCCCCACACTATCTCATTTGTTTTTTGCTGACGATTCTCTCTTTTTCCTCAGGGCCAAAGAACATGATGGGACCAAGTTGAAGTTGATTTTACGGAGGTATTGTGAAGCAGCAGGACAACTTATTAACCCCAACAAGTCTGGGATCCTCTTCTCTTCTAATTCACCAGAGGACCTGAGGAGATCCATGAGCCAGCTGATGGAAATTAAAGCTCTACTAGACAATACTAGATACCTAGGCCTGCCTACTATATGTGGAAGATCAAAATCCGAAACCTTCAATTATCTACTGGAAAGGGTCATGAAGAAAATTCAAGGTTGGAAGGAAGTCTATCTTTCCCAGGCGGGGAAAGAGGTGCTTATTAAATCGGTTGTTCAAGTCATTCTCAATTTTACTATATCATGTTTAATTTTCCCACAGAAGTTGTGCAATAAATTGACCCAGTGTTTTCGACGTTGCTGGTGGGGTCGGAATCAGGAGACTGGCGGTATTTCGTGGAAGTGCTGGGATGACATGACCTTACCAAAAGTATCGGGGGTATGGGTTTCAGAGATTTCCAATGCTTTAATCTGGCACTATTGGCTAAGCAATGTTGGAGGTTAATACATAGTCTGAATTCCTTTTGGGCTCGAATTCTGAAGGCGATATATTTTCCTAATTCGGACTTCATGGAGGCCAGAAGAGGAACAAGACCGTCCTGGATGTGGAGCAGCCTTTTGAGGGGAAGAGATTTGCTGGCCAAAGGTCTTAGATGGCAGGTAAGTAATGGGGAGTAGATTAAATTTTGGAGTGATAGATGGATCCCGACCCTACCTGGTTTCTCGGTTATTTTGCCCAAGCCCGAGAATTGTAACATTGTGTTGGTTAAGGATGTAATTAATCAGGAATCAAAGTGTTGGGATTTAAATTCCCTCCAGATGCTTACCACTATAGAAGAACGACAAGCTATCTCATCCATTCTGGTGTCGAAAATGAAGGGGTTAGATAAGAGGATATGGCATTTCGAGGCTAGGGGCCAATATACAGTTAAGTCAGGCTATAAGGAGGCAAGGAGAATGAAGACTTCTACTGCTCTTCAAGGGAGTAGTTCCTCTTCACGACTGCATCCTAATTTGTGGAACATTATATGGAGCATGAAAACAACACCAAAGGTAAGACATTTTTAGTGGAGGGTATGTTCAAATACTCTTGCTACAAAATAGAATCTCTACAGAAGGAAATGCAGCTCCTCCCCACTCTGCCAAATTTGCGAAGGTAAGGTTGAATCAACATAGCATCTTTTATTTGGTTGCGAATGGACACACAAAGTTTGGTTTGAGTCGAACTTAACCCTAAGAATGGAGTGCCAAAATATTGTTTCAGTGAAGTTTTGGACATCTAATTTAGTGGAGAATCTGAACTCTTTTCACCAAGCGGTGGAGGTTCTTAGTAAGGTTGCGTTTATTGGGTGGTCCATATCTAGAATGAGGAATGATGCTACCTTTCATTCAGCTCTCCCTAATCCAGCAGTCGCATTAAAAAGGGCACAATTCAATTGGGAAGAGTTCAACTCTCATTTTTTTGTCCAAAATCAGCAGTGTCTCTCCCCATATATGGACCATCCAACCATGGATGGGTGGCTAAGACCTCCCAACGGGCTAGTAAAAGTGAACTATGGTGGAGCTTTTGATGAAAAGATGAAGAAATCTGCAATAGGTGTGGTCTTTAGGGACCATACTGGAGCTATCCTTGATGGTTTTGCAATGCAATCCCCCTTTGTGTCCAGTCTTTACTCGAAAGCACTGGCCATGCGTGAAGCTTACTTACGGCTTTCGGTTTTACAGAGTTTCAAGGCTATTGTGGTGAGTGATTCACAAGTACTGTTCTCTTTATGTACTAGTGAGGATGCTCCTCCATGGGAGATTGCATCTTTGGTAGAAGATATCAAAGTGTTTTTTAGCAATCTTAGACTTAGATTGGTACATAACCCTCATACAACTAACAGGGCAGCCCATTGGATGGCCAAAGCGAAAATGTCTTTTTCACTTTCGGTAGGTTGGGTTTTTAACCCTCCTACGAAGTTGAGTCGTATCCTTTCTATTAACTGTAACCTTGATTCGGTTTATTAATGAAAATTTTGCTTCCAGTTCAAAAAAAAAATGTATATTGCACAAATAGTGAAGACGCTATGTAATTCGAAGGTAGTGTTAAAAATATATATATTAGAGGATTCTCTATTTGATGTCGAGTTATACAATGTATACCTTTGTTAAAAAGCATGAGTGTCCAATCCAAAAACCTGAGTCTTTTGTAAATAGTGCCTTTAATTTTATACGGTATTGGTAAATAGTGCCTTCAATTTTTATTTATTTTTTAACTTTTTATTTATGAGCTGACTACCTCATTTTTTAATAACTCTATTTTTTTTTTTACTAACATGGTTTTAAAGGGTATGTCAATCTATTTCAATTATTTTATATGATATTTTGAGTAATTCTTTTTGTCAATTTAATTACTATTTTCTCACAGAATTACACATCACCAAAATTACCCATTACTCAATGAATTTTCTCTTTTACCAGGTAAATAATAACGAATTTATTCTTTTAATTCATGTTATAAATTTGTTGTGTGATTATCATTAAATATTTATTATTTTTAATTAATGTTTATGTTGGTTTAGTTGTGATGCTTTGACATAATTTTATTATTGTTAAATGTTATGCGTTAAATGTGCATTGTTATTTTCAATATTTCTTTACCCAAAATTTGCATGTTTAACAATTGAAATAGATAACCGCGTAATCACTTGCAGCACAACATAACAACCAGTACCCAAATGGACAACGTAATCCAAATATTTGTAAATGTATAAAAAAAAAAAAAAAAATCAAGTTGTAGACATTCTTTTGAAAGTTAGTTGAATTTTTGATATTTAAATTTGACCCAAAAAAAAAAAAACAAAGCCCAAGCTAACTGCCAATAAAAAAAATCAAGTAATACTAATTATACCAAAAAAATAAAAAAAATTAAAAACTAATATAATCTCCATCACCACTTCCATGCAAACAAAAAGTATAAATATACAATCTATAAATAGAACTTCAAGCTATTATTCATATAAAAAATAAATAATTACTGTATACAAAATCAAAACTTAATCTAAATAATAGTTCAGAATTATTATCATTATGTATTAAAATTTTATGAGTAAATAGTGCCTAACGTGGATAATGACTAATTTTTAATAAAGTATCAGTTTTAATCACAATGCCGTATTGAGGTGGTTGCCAAAAAGCATGGACCAAGGCATTTTTAACTCATTTTTGAGTCAGACAGGAGTTGGAAAGTTCACTTCAAAATTTAAATGGCCTAGGTTTGGCTTGACTTTGAAGTTGACCAGTTTTTGGAAATGGTGTGATCACCTTTGCCCTACTAGTTGATCCACCTATCCCCTCTACCCCACCCCTGCCCTGATTAAAAAAATTATTTTGAGTCAATTACTTATTTAGCCCCTAAATTATACTTTTTATGTCAATTAAACCCCTGAATTATGTTTTGTGTCAATTTAACTCTTAAACAATACAATTAACCCTTATGTCCAAATTCGCTGTTAAATTTGACAAAAATTTTCACATGCACATCATGTGCATGATTATGTGCGCATGATATACAAGTGAGGGTTTTTGTGACGTGCACATGGGCGTTTTTGTCAAAATTAGGATGAATTTGAACGGGAGAGCCATATTTATATTTCGTTTGGTACGATAGAAAAATTGAATGATAGAAAGTTAAAAGTATGAAAAATTGAAGGGATAGATACAAATCATGTTTGGTAAGGAAGAAAAATAGGATGGATAAAAAAGTGGATGAATTAATTTTTCTTCCAACTCACCAAAATCAATTCCTCCAAAATTGAGAAAAAAAATAGATAAAAAGTTAATTATATATGTTGAAATGTATGTTATTTGGTTGTATATCCTTTGATATATATATCATATTTATTAATTACATATTATATATACATTAATTTTATACATAGATATAATGTTAAAATATGTATTTATATATTTTCTAATAAAAATTAAAAAAATATTTTTTTCATCTTATCAAACACACACCAAAAAAAAAATATTAATTCTTCCTATTTTCTATCCCTCTTACCAGATACAAAAGAGAGAATTAAAAATAAAAAGTGTATCATTCATACTTTTTATCATTCTATTTTTCTATACACCTTGCCAAGCGGATCATAAGTCAGACCGCATAGTTGAGAGGTTGAATTATCACCAAACATAGCTCATGGAGTAAATTGACACTATACATAGTTCAAAAGTTTGACCGAGACAAACGATATAATTCATTGGCTAAATAAAAGTTAACTTAATTTTTTTAGGAAAATTTCAAAGACATCCCAAAAAATTTATCAAAATCATAGATGATATCCTTCTTGTTTGAATAATTATACTATAACCCTGTCAGACTATATCAAGTACCAAAATAAAAGTTACGTTTTGGCCTTTATACTCTCAAAACAAATTTAGAATGTAAAATCAAGAATGATAGTTAAATGCATTTAAACTAACGAATGATCAATCCAAACTCACTCAAGAAAGCCTTGATCGATTTTCAAACAACTCAAATTTGACTCAAATAATTCTTTTTCTCTTTTTCTTCCTTTTATGCATCTAGTAGTCATTAGTCACCACCTACGTCACCACATTTTCCAACCCCGTTCAAAAAACACCAGGCCTCAATGCTTCCTCTTTCCCCTCTTTGGCCTGCACACACCCTAACCCCTCAACCCACCCTCCACCGTACAAACCACCACCTTGATCACCAGGACAATGATGGTGGTGATTCAGTTAAAGGGAGGATTCTTTTAATTTTTTAAATTTTTGTATGATAGAATTTTTAAAAAAAAATTTTATGTATTGAAGAGTAAAATAGGTATTTCATATAAGTTGGATAATACTAGTGTTAGAATATTTTAACTAAAAGAGTGTTTCTTATATGGAAACTCAATCCCACATTGACTAAACATCCAAAGATACTTGAGTATATATATATACTAGTGTTATCTAACATTTGAATCAAATAGAGGTCTTGGGACTCTCACGTGCGCAGGGGTGGGGATAGCGGAGGAGAGAGTATGGCACAGAAGAAACAGGGACGAAAAAATATGCTTGTAGCCGTTATTTTAAATTTCAGATGGTGGAAAATAAATATGCAATTGCTCAAACACATGAATTACAGATGATTGTTCACGAAATTGTGTACAAAGAAATCAAGATAGATGAACAGATGCAAGTTGCAGCAGTTATCAACAAACTGCCAGGTTCATGGAAAGAGTATCAAAAGGGACTTCGTCACAAGCATTCTGAATTAAGCATAGTGAACCTAATGGCTCGGCTTCGAATTGAGGAAGAGACCAGAAAACAAGACAAGACCAACGACACTAACGGGAATCTCAATGGCAATAGTAATGGAAACAACAACAAGGTACATTTTATCACATCTAATGATAACATCTCTAAGGGTCAAAATAATAGAAACATTGTCTATTTGAAACCTAGAGTTAATAACATGAAAAGGTTTAATAGGGCTTTAAATAAAAATCATTCTCAAAAAAAAAATGGAACCAAGGACCCCCTTCCAAACAAGTATCATATAATAAAAATAATCAGTCAAATAATGGTGCTTGTTTTGTTTGTAGAAAGTCTAGCCATTTTGTAAAAGATTGTCGTTTTAGAAAATGGGGTTATGCTCCTCAAACTAATGTGACCGAGGAACCACTTGTGGCCATGATTTCTGAAGTTAATTTTATTGAGAATAATGAAGGGTGATGGACAAATTCTAGAGCTTCCAGGCATGTCTGTCATGATAAATCTTGGTTCAAGTCTTTTTCTCCTGTTAAAAATGATAAAAAAGTGTTGCTTGGTGATTCACATACTATGAGTGTTTTGGGCATGGGAGATGTCCAACTCAAATTTACCACTGAAACAGAAACTTCACAACAGTTAATAGGCTGAGATGTTGTATTATGAGGACGACATTATTTCATAAAGGGGCGCGAATCTACGCCTCACCCTGTCGTTCACTTTATTTACATCCAATTTTTTCCTACAATTTAAGACGATTACGAACCCAATGGAAAATTCTGTAATAGCTACTTCTACTGTTTCATCTGCTGGATCAAACGATCTTAACAAACCATTTCGATTCAGTAGACAATTCTTCAAAAGATGGGCGAAGAAAGTTCTATTCTATCTCAAACTGATGAAAGCCGCATGGATTCTCACTTCAAAAAATCAAAATAAGGTGAACAAGGAAGGTATGACTGCAGAAGAGTTAGTAGAACATGAAAAGAATTTAACACTATGGGCAACTGACGAAGATAATTGTCGCAATTATTTACTCAATTGTCTTTCTGATGAGCTATATGATTATTATTCCAATTCCTATTCTTCTGCCAAGAAGATTTGGAAAGCTTTGGAGGAGATAGTATGGCACAGAAGAAACAGGGACGAAAAAATATGCTTGTAGCCGTTATTTTAAATTTCAGATGGTGGAAAATAAATATGCAATTGCTCAAACACATGAATTACAGATGATTGTTCACGAAATTGTGTCCAAAGAAATCAAGATAGATGAACAGATGCAAGTTGCAGCAGTTATCAACAAACTGCCAGGTTCATGGAAAGAGTATCAAAAGGGACTTCGTCACAAGCATTCTGAATTAAGCATAGTGAACCTAATGGCTCGGCTTCAAATTGAGGAAGAGACCAGAAAACAAGACAAGACCAACGACACTAACGAGAATCTCAATGGCAATAGTAATGGAAACAACAACAAGGTACATTTTATCACATCTAATGATAACATCTCTAAGGGTCAAAATAATAGAAACATTGTCTATTTGAAACCTAGAGTTAATAACATGAAAAGGTTTAATAGGGCTTTAAATAAAAATCATTCTAAAAAAAAAAATGGAACCAAGGACCCCCTTCCAAACAAGTATCATATAATAAAAATAATCAGTCAAATAATGGTGCTTGTTTTGTTTGTAGAAAGTCTAGCCATTTTGTAAAAGATTGTCGTTTTAGAAAATGGGGTTATGCTCCTCAAACTAATGTGACCGAGGAACCACTTGTGGCCATGATTTCTGAAGTTAATTTTATTGAGAATAATGAAGGGTGATGGACAAATTCTAGAGCTTCCAGGCATGTCTGTCATGATAAATCTTGGTTCAAGTCTTTTTCTCCTGTTAAAAATGATAAAAAAGTGTTGCTTGGTGATTCACATACTATGAGTGTTTTGGGCATGGGAGATGTCCAACTCAAATTTACCTCTGAGCTGAGTTTTAACCTTAAGAGATGTTCTTCACACTCCTGAAATCAGAAAGAATTTGATTTCTGGTTACCTTTTAAATAAGGCTGATTTCAAACAAACCATAGAATCTAATCAGTATATTTTGACCAAGAATGGGTCATTTGTTGGGAAAGGTTATGCTTGTGATGGTATGTTTAAGCTGAATGTTGAAATGAATAAAACTACTTCTTCCGTTTACATTGTTTCTTGTGTGAATATGTGACATGCTCATCTTTGTCATGTTAATAGCAAATATTTAAAAAATATGAGTCATATAAGTTTATTGCCTAAGTTACACAATAATTTTGAAAAATGTGAATATTATAGTATGACAAAAATAACAAAACAGCCTCATATCAAAGTAGAAAGAAATTTTGAATTATTAGAATTGATACACACGGACATATGTGAATTTGAAGGAATTTTGACTCGTGGTGGAAAAATATATTTTATAACTTCCATCGGTGACTTTTCAAAATACACTTATGTTTATCTTATGAAAAATAAAAGTGATGCTTTTGAAAAACTCACCATTTTTATTAAAGAAGTAAAAAATTATTTTGATAAAAAAATTAAACGATTTAGAAGTGATTCAGGTAGAAAGTATAAATCACTTGAATTAATTGAACATATACAATCTTTAGAAATAGTTCATGAAACTACACCACCATACTCTCCTCAATCTAATAGTGTAGTTGAACGTAAAAATAGAATTTTAATCAACTTAACCAATGTTGTGTTAGCTAGTTCCAGTACACCTAAAAATTTGTGGGGAGAGGTAGTCTTAACTGGAAATTATGTTATGAATAGAGTTCCTCGTAAACAAAATCTAGTTACTGTTTATGAATTGTGGAGAAAAAGAAAGCCTAACTTGAATTACATTAAAGTATGGGGTTGTTTAACTTATGTTTGGATGATTGATCCTAAAATTCCTAAATTAGGAATAAGAGTGACTAGATGTGTATTTATTGGATATGCATTAGCTAGTAAAGCATATAGATTTTTAGACATAGAGAATAATGTGGTAATTGAATCATTAGATGTTATATTTCATGAAGATAAATTCCCTTTTAAATATAAAAATAGTGGGGATGATGATAATATGTCAAAGTCTAGTGATATTTCTAGTTCATCATTGACCGAAAATGTATAACAAAAAGAACATGAAACTAGGAAGAGTAAGAGGAGTAGAGTAGAAAAAGATTTTGGTTCAGATTACATTGTTTATAATGTTGAAGGGAATCTAACCAACTTACAAGAAGCCTTAACATCTCCCGATTCAGACTTATGGAGAGAAGCTGTAAATGATTAATATGATTCACTCATAACAAACAAAATATGAAAATTGGTAGATTTACCTCCTGGTTGTAAAACTATAGGTTGCAAATGGGTGTTAAAGAAAAAACTCAAATCTGATGGAACGATAGATAAGTATAAGACGAGGTTGGTAGCTAAAGGTTTTAAACAAAAAGAAGATTTAGATTTCTTTTATACGTTTTCTCCTGTCTCTAGAATTACATCCATAAGATTGCTAAAATCTATAGCTGTTATACATAATTTAGAAATACATTAAATGGATGTAAAAACAGCTTTTTTGAATGGTGATCTAGAGGAAGAAATTGATATGGATTAACCAGAAGGGTTTATTCAACAAGGTCATGAAAATAAAGTTTGTAAATTAACTAAATCTTTATATGGCCTTAAACAGGCACCCAAACAATGACACTAAAAATTTGATCAAAGTGTTTTAGCTAATGGGTTTAAGGCAAATGAGAGTGACAAATGTATTTACTTAAAGTCTAAAAATAGTGAACATATTATTATTTGTTTATATGTTGATGATCTTTTGATATTTGGCACTAGCTTATATGTGATTGAGACTACCAAGGCTTTACTAAATAGAAATTTTGACATGAAAGACTTGGGTCAAGCAAATGTGATTCTTGGCATGAAAATCACAAAGAGTGTTGATGGAATTATTCTTGATCAATCTCATTACATAGAAAAATTTTTGAAAAAATATAACTTTTTTGATTGGAAACCTGCTTGCACACCTTTTGATTCAAGCATTCATTTATTTCCAACAGAAAAAGAAAGTGATGTAATTAATTAAATAGAGTATGCAAGCATAATTGGTAGTCTTAGATATGCCACTGATTGTACTAGACCTGATATTGCCTATGCGGTGGGTGTACTTGATAGATTTACTAGTAGACCTAGTATAGATCATTTGAATGTAATATGTCGTCTTATGAGATATCCAAAAAGAACTATGCATGTTGGTTTATTTTATAAGAATTATCCTATTGTACTTGAAGGTTACTGTGATGCAGATTGGAACACCCTATCGGGTGATTCTATGTCCACTGCAGGTTATGTTTTTACTTTAGGTGGCGGAGCCATAAGTTGAAAATCAAAAAACCAACAAATTATTGCAAAGTCAACAATGGAAGCTGAGTTGATTGTGCTAGTTTCAGCTAGTGAGGAAGCTAGGTGGCTTCGTGATTTATTGTTTGATATACCTTTGTGGGCTAAACCAGTGTCACTTGTGTTAATTCATTGTGACAACAATGCCGCAATAGGTAGAGTACGTAATAAGTACTATAATGGAAAATCCATATCTGTGAGAAGAAAGCATTGTACTGTGAGATTATACCTGAATAATGGTGCGATCAATGTTGATTATGTGAGATCGACTGACAATCTTGCTAATCCGTTAACAAAAGCTCTAGCTAGAGAAAAGATCTGAAGTACATCGAGGGAGATTGGACTCAAGCCCAAATTTGATTAAGTTACATAGGAGGATACCCAACCAAGGGACTGGAGATCCCAAAAACTAGGTTAATGGGACAAACGAATAATAGAGTGACTTGATTTGTGAAACATGTACCAATAGAATTTATATCATTGTTGAAATTTTGTATTCATTGTCCATCTCTATGGTGTAAAGTATATGTGATCTTGTAACGAAAATTTAGACGATGAGATCAATATCTCTTAATGAGTTTTATAGCCCTTTTTGGGTGGGATGTCTTAGTTACGAGAACATCCTTGATAGACTCATCTATATGAGTGTGGAAGACGAGCCGCTTCCTATGAGAATTTGGGCTAATTCTCTAGAGCACTCAAGAAACTGGGATAAAGCACAAGGCCAAAAATGTGCTGATTTTTTAAGCTTGGTTTTGGACACCTTGAATATCATGTGTGTAATATGGTTCTACGTATTTTCAAGTAGTCATCGTTTAAAGGCTAAGTCCACTTTGACTCTAGTACAGGAACATTGAAGCACTAAGTAAAAGTTTAAAGGCATTGCCACTTTTGCAATACATGATATTCTATTTATTACCCGGTTACTTATATAGTGTATTTTTTATTATAATAAGTGGGAGATTGTTAGAATATTTTAACTAAAAAGAGTGTTTCTTATGTGGGAACTCAATCTCACATCGACTAAACATCCAAAGATACTTGAATATATATATATATATATATATACTAGTGTTATCTAACCTTTGAATCAAAGAGAGGTCTTGGGACTCTCACGTGCACAGGGGTAGGACTAGTGGAGGAGATACGGATTTCTAAAATCTATGAACCACACTTTTTAATATTTTGTTTAATTATTTTATGTTATTATTTTTATAATAAAATTTTAGTTGCTGAATACCAAAAACCTCAAATGGCTAGTATGCCAACAATCATATTTTCTGAGTTATTATCCAATTAAATATAGAAGTAATTACAGTCTATTAAACACATATTATATATATATATATTTCCAGTATAGAGATATACAATATATATCATATCAACTTTCTTCTTACAATATAAGTTTCTGGGCAATATTCAAAGGTATGTGTGAAGCTTCTACTTCATTCGATTGTGCAGATCTGAGTGAAGCAACAGTCAATAGACTGGGTTGTTGTATCCTGGGGATGACGTGCTACTACTACCTTCTGCGCTGTGATTATTTCATAAAAGGGTGCAAATCATCTTAAAAGAGCGACCTAGTCCGTGCCTCACTCTGCCGTTCACTTTATTTACATCCAATTTTTTTCAACAACTAGTGGGATTTCTAATTGAACAGTCACATGTAAAATAAAAAGAGCAATGTTATGCATATTTAATCCCATTGAAAGGGTCCCATTTATATGAGGTAAACAATGCCCATCCATTTAGAATATGTTTTTTAGTAACTTATTAGCAACATCCTCGTATCTGAACACATTTAATAATTCTAAAAAATTAAATATTGATCATCCAACATTTATATCTTAGATAGAAATTTATTTTTTTCTTTAATTATACTCATTGTCTTGTAAAAATTTTATCTTCTTAAAGTCAAGGAATCAAGTCCTCCTCCCCTTTCCTCTTTTCCTCCAAAAAAAAAAAGAGAAAATAAGAGAGAAAAGAGATGTAGATGTGGATTAGCAAGGCTATGTGATATTGGAAAGTGTATTGGTTAAGTTGATTTTTTTGTGAAAAAAAAATTATAATGAATTTTTATTATTAAATTAAAATAGATAAAGATTGAATGAATCTTGACTGTTGTTATATTTTTATAATTGAGAATTCAACTTCTTATTGTAATATTTAATTGATTTAAAATGCATAACATTACTTGAAATAAACAACCCAAACCATAAGAGGTGGACAATAATTTCAGAAACAAAGGGGCATGGTCTACAATAATCAGAAACTCAAAGGAACATCACTGTAATTTTTTCTTTTCTTTTTCTTCTTTTTGTTTTTTTTTCTTGTTTAATTTGGCAAAAAATGAAAGTGAGTCAATGAAGCTGAAAGCTCAGATTCCATTCAAAATTCAAAGTTCAAAACCCAGAGTGGGCCCTCCGCACTTGAACTCCACTGATAGGGTCACACACACCTTTCTCGTACTTTTCTTTCCCTCTTTCTCACCTATTTTCTCTTCTCCTCTCTCTGTATTCTCTGGAATTTAGAGAGAGAGAAGATATCCGATCGACTGTGTCACATTTCCATCATCGGAAACGATCTCAGTGGAAAGAGTTGAAAAACGTAAATTCAGAACGAATCTACAATGGCTATCGAAGTAAAAGGCGTTCTATCTCACGGTGGAAAATACGTTCAGTACAACGTCCTCGGAAACCTATTCGAGGTCTCCGCCAAGTACGTCCCTCCGATTCAACCCGTCGGCCGTGGCGCTTACGGCATTGTTTGGTAAAATCTTCTTTCCTTTCCTTTCCTTTCCTCTCACTTCTTTTTTTTTTTTTTTTTTTATAGCTGCGTTTATATTTGCACAAGCAATTACACGAAGTCGCCCGCCCTTATTTCTTAATTTCCTGAGTTTTTCTCTGCAATCAAACAAAGACTTAATGATAGGACTAAAGATTAGCTTTCTTTCCTCTTACTTTACCCACTCTGAACTGTTTAGCTTGTCGATCTTATGTTTTCTTTGCTTCCAAAAACCAAATGGGGATGCCATATTTCCAGTTCATTTATTAGTTGTTTGCCTTTTGTTGGGAATCAAAGAGTAGAAAATGTTTGATGCTGAATGTGTATCTTACCCAGAGGAGTGTTTTTGGCGAGCATCATTTATTCGATTTCCTTCGCTCAAAATGCCAGTTCAAACGTGTGACTTAGGGTTCATTTGGGCTCAGAAAACTTGAAATTTACAGCGACGAAGTGCGTTCTATGACTTTATATTTTCTACCCAATATTTACGGTTATATGATAAAGTTGAAGTCAAATAATTAGCCAATGTGACTGATAATATTATTAAAAAGAAAATTTGTTATCCATGTGCAAGTTATATGTCTAATAAACCCCTCCGCTTCACATGTATATTCAATTGATGAGTGCAAGTTTAAGGCTAATTGCCTAAGAGACAGGAATATCTGTTATTTGCTTGCTGAACATTTTTTAAGATTTCATAATGGTATTAATTTGTGATCACTGGTGTAAGCTCTCTAATGTGTTTCTGGTTCAGTACTTGCAATTTTTTTTTTTTTTTTTCAGTTTTAATTTGTCAATTTGGATGGTATTCATTTTCTTGTCACAGCTGCGCTACAAATTGTGATACAAAAGAGGAGGTTGCAATCAAGAAAATCGGGAACGCATTTGACAACAGGATTGACGCTAAAAGGACCCTGCGAGAGATCAAACTCCTTAGCCATATGGATCATGCCAATGTACTCACAGTTGCACATATATTATTATTATTATTCTTATACCTTGCAATTTGTGAAAACAAAATTCCTGGCACTTAGTTCATTTTTTGAATTTTGCTGTTGCCTATCATGGCAAATGATGCCACTACAAGTTATAGGGCTGTGTAATTTTCTGTTCATAATACATGGCTATGTTCTCCATAAAGTAGTGGTGTCATTGGTAAATTCAAGATTGCAGAGTGGAAGAAAAAATGGATGTATGCATAACCCTTTTCTTTTTTATTGTTTCTATGTTATTCTGTGGACAGAAAATGATTTAATATACTAATTTTCTGCAGATCATCAAAATTAAGGACATCATAAAGCCACCAGAGAGAGAAACGTTTAATGATGTTTACATTGTGTATGAATTAATGGATACTGATCTACATCAGATTATTCGCTCTTCTCAGGCACTCACTGAAGATCACTGCCAGGTAAGTGATATCTTCTGCTACCATGCTATTATTTCTTTATTAGGCTGAGAGTTGTAGCAGTTAAAAGCTGTTACAAATGCACATCAACATTGTTTTCTCAAACTGTAGTCTTTCATCCCCATGGTTATGAATACATAAGGGGTTTATGTCCCATTTTCTGTTTTGGTGCTTTTTAATGCTGTATGATGCCTTTCCTAATACAATATAAGATCCCAAATAAAGCTTCGGTTAAGTTCCTGATTGAGCAGTGCTTTTAACTTACTTTTGATAGCCTGACCATCAGGAGTGTTTCCATTTACCATTTTCTTTTAATGATTCCAAATGGATTGTACAGTGCATAATACACCCCATCATTTTACTTGTTGCGATTATTTTTTTTTTAACTTTCCAAGTCTAGGATGTCCTGATGAACGGAAATAGCTAACCAATTCAAAGTAATCACTAATCAAACTGCTTTTCATTAAGGCAAAATACAGTGGTTTTAAGTTACTGTTATATGCTAATATAGTTATTAATATATTGGTTTCCTGTGGAAGGCTATTCCTTGTAGGGGTTCTATAGGGTATTTTAAGTTACTGTTATTTGCTAATATAGTTATTAATATATTGGTTTCCTGTGGAAGGCTATTCCTTGTAGGGGTTCTACAGGGTATTTTGTGAGTAAAGTAAGTAGACTAGAATCTTCAAATCATCATGCAGTTATGTGATTTTGACTTTGTCCTATTATGTAAATTACCACCATTTTAAAGGTGTCATGTTAGTCAGAAGCTTTGAGTTATTCTCAATGAGTCATCAGTCATGCCAACTAAATTGAGATGGTTATAAGCGTCCTTTCCAACTTGCACCATGTAACTGAATGTTTTGATTTACAATTCTTCCAAGTAACAATACTAGAGAACTGATGAGGGCTTAACATAGTTTGCAGTAATGCAAAGCTACAACTTGTACGTTGCTAGCTGACTCAGTCGCCATTATATTTGTTAATTGAGTGAGCTGCTGATTTTGCGTGTCCTTATACGTTATTATGCATTTCAAGATCTAAATTTTTGGAAATAATGCCATTTGGTTAATGCATTGCATTTATCTGTCTGGCAGTACTTCCTTTATCAGTTGTTACGGGGACTGAAGTACATACACTCTGCAAATGTTTTGCACCGAGATCTGAAACCAAGCAACTTGCTTCTCAATGCAGACTGTGACCTCAAGATTTGTGATTTTGGGCTCGCAAGAACCACCTCTGAGACAGATTTCATGACAGAATATGTTGTAACCCGATGGTATCGAGCACCTGAGTTGTTGCTCAATTGTTCAGCATATACAGCAGCAATTGATATTTGGTCAGTTGGTTGCATTTTAATGGAGATTATTAAAAGAGAACCTCTTTTTCCGGGTAAAGACTATGTTCAGCAGTTGGGGCTCATAACTGAGGTACTTTTCCTCCTCAGACTTCATGTTAAGTTCTTTTTCTTTGTTTTTTTCTAGAATGAATTATAGATATTGCGACAGTATTTGATGGAATCCTTTTGTGATGACTCCTAAAATAGCTGTTAGGTTCCCCGGAAGAGTCAGACCTTGGATTCCTAAGGAGTGATAATGCTCGGAGGTATGTCAAGCAGCTACCTCATTTCCCAAGGCAACCTTTTCTGCAGAAGTTCCCAGATATGTCCCCAGTTGCCATTGACCTGGCCGAGAAAATGTTAGTTTTTGATCCAGCTAAACGCATTACTGGTAGGCTTCCCAATATTCAAAATACTTTGACATTGTTACCATTTAATCAATACCATTTTTTTCTGCAACTGATGGAAATTTCTTCTCGCATGATATTTCTGTAGTTGAGGAAGCACTGAACCATCCATTCTTATCAAGTCTTCATGAGATCAATGAAGAGCCTACTTGCACATCTCCTTTCATCTTTGATTTTGAACAATCTTCCTTAAGTGAAGAAGACATAAAGGAGCTAATATGGAGTGAGTCTGTAAAGTTCAACCCAGAAGAGCTATTGAAGTAACCGCACCAATATTCTCGGTTTTTGTTGTTTACTTCGTTGATGTCCTGTTTGAGTGTTTGATTTTCGTTTGGATTATAATAAATGTACAAAAATGTTTGAGTTTCCATATAAGCAGAGTGGTTAAGGAGATAGGTTCTCCCTTGTATCGAGCCAGGAATGAGATTTTTTTCCATTTTTATATGGCTGGGTTGGGTTGAGGGGTGCACGATTGTAATTGAAAATTGATATGCGATAAAAGGTTAATCTCTTAGCCTTAAGAATGTATTGCTGTTCTATGTTTTGTACCAGAATCAGCTTCATTAAGAGTTACCAATATTGAAATCAGTCAGAAGGTGGTGTTGCTACAGGCTGAATGCACATAAGACGTACATGTGCTTATTTGGAGTTCTAAATTTGCAATCAATTTTCAAATAAAATTAACTTAATTGATAAAACTTTATCAAGTGTGTAAGGTCCAGTTTTATTCTGAACTTCGTTAAATATTTGTTTTATTCCGCACGTGAGAAAATTTGGCGCCTAAACTAACCAACAGAATACAAACTGCCTTAACTAACTAACTAACAAGAGTGACCGCCTTAACAACCAACAGAAGTCGCCAAGAAAACCATCTTATAGTTTGTCTCCTCTTATATCTCTGAATCCGCAAAACCCTAGAACTCTCTCTCTCTCTCTCTCCACAATGCCGAGAGCTGTAGTACCATGGAGATCATCTCCACCTTCCAGCAAAGACTACATTACTATTGATGTGGAGGAGGCTATTCCTGAACTTCCGCTGTACCACAGGCGTCCTGGTATCGGCCGGAGGGAATTCTTGCGATTCCGGTGGTCAGACAAATTGATTCATCTCATCCCTGTGATTGTGTTGCTTTGTCTCTTCATTCTCTGGTGGTTCTCTAATCGGGTATGTTTCCAATGGATTCAAGAACACTTGCTATAATTTGTGTAAATTTTTCATTGATTTTTCTTGGAATATATGTGGGTTCTATGGACCATTTTTTGTGTGTTTATGCCTGCGATAGCTCTTAATATGGGTTATTGCTTTAACAGATTTGACAAATAGTCTAGTAGAATCTTCTTGGTGGAAATTTGAAGGAAAGGATCATGACAGTCTTTTTGATCAAGAACTCAACTGTAATTCTCTTACTGCATTTTTCTCTAATGAATCTATTCTGCTCTCTGTATGTGTTTATGTATTTGTTTGTGCGGGGGGTTTTTTTTGTGTGTGTGTGTGTTTTGTTTGGGGGGAGCTTGATTCACCTGAAGTGTTTGGTGTTGTTGAAAAACTGTGTAATAAAAAAGAGAAAAATTAGGAATCTTTCAAATGGTTGTGTTCATTGTATCCTCAGTAGAACAAACAGAGCTGTTTATCGAACAAGACGGTGTTAAATTTTTCATAGCAGGGTTTTTTTTTTGGGGGGGCTTGTAAGATGAAAAATCGCTGTCCTACTCTGTTTGGCTGCTGAGAAAAAAATGAGAAAGAAAAAAGCTAAGACTTTGTGCAACACATTTCCCATTATTGGGGGACCTTTTAACTATATTATTCTCTACTATGGCAAGACAAGAGTAGCAGTTGACATCAATCAGGCAACAAAAGAGACGTTTTTCAAATGTTCTTATGTTATCTAATTCTCCTAAGTTAACTTGTCGTTTAGGATTAGTTAATATGTTTTAGGAGTCTATAGAGTACCCAAATCTCTATTATTAATGTGATTCCTAATTAGTTGTTTATGTTTCTACTTTCAAAACAGTGAACGTGGAGATTGACGATGGAAGAATCACAGCAGTCCACCCGATAGAGATGTTACAGTCTCTCAATGAAACCCGC